AACCAACAGCAGTGTTATCCAGGTAGAAAGTTCAATGACTAGCTAAATTATAGGAAGCTCTTATAAAGCTCTACCTAGTGCAGTTTTTTTTGTAGGTGTTGAAAAAAGTGCATTCAAAACTCAATTTACTTTACAGTTGCCTTTTGCAAAAAATTACACTATATACCCTAACTTTAAAAGCTTATTTAATCAATAGCTGTCCAACATTAGGTATATAGTAATATGGATTTAGGTTTAGGTTAGTGCGTGCCAATAATTTCTCTGAATTTGTGGGAGAATTCTTGTTGGTAGGGAAATGTTCTGACCAATCAACAACTTGAAAAGTAAAAGGACACAAGTGCAACTAATGTGACATTTATTGTGGCAACGTTTCACTCTCCAGGAGCTTTATCAACGAAATGTTGCCACAATAAATGTCACATTAGTTGCACTTGTGTCCTTTTACTTTACATATTGTCAGTAATTCTACCAACTTTATTACAACAACTTGAAAGTCTGAGATTACTATCATTCCAGCTTGAGGCCTAATGATTATTGTACAAATATAGCAAATCTAGCATTTGAAAATGGGTTGAATGTGTACAAGAATAGACATACTTGGGTGAGAGTTGGACCTGTATTACATGAACCTCTAGGCTTACTGCAGTGCCCCATTATTATATAAAATTGTAATGAAGTAGATGACTCCAAGGTTATACTGAAATTTGTTGGCAAGGCCTCATTTCTGGTCTTGATTACAGCTCTTGGAAAACAAGGTAATAGTAACATGCTGTATCTAGATTTTGTCTGTAAAGGTGAGCATTTAACTTGCTCTAAACTGAAAAAAAATCAAATCTGACTACTTCCAACATAGCTCCAACAGTCTTAAAGAATATAGGAAGCACTTGTGCAGTAAGTTAGTAAAACCTAACATTAAATTATCCCTGGTTACATCTTAATTTGTCAAAGTTGCCTGTAATCATGTGCTTTGTAAACAAAGAAGTGCAGTACTTCTCGTGAAGTGGGGTAAGAATAATAAGTGCAGATTTATTAAGAATTGTAACAAGTTGTTGGACACTATTAGTCCTGTACTGTACATAGTAATTTCCTCCTTTTGTAAATGAGCTTGCCCTTTAAAGTTTTTCCTATTATCAGCACCCTTTTTGTATGCTGTACTGAATGACCTTTGGGTCTAGCCTTTTTTATTAGTCTTTTATAGTGTTAATTCAGACAGCCCTAAGACAAAATCCCTCATTGGTTTAGAAAATAATGTAATAAACAGAAGTTGGATAAATGTAAAGGCAGAGGAACTAGGCTGCTGTTAAAAATGCTTTGTAAATATTGGTCCCTTCAGGTTTGAGAACTGTATCCCTTGAGGTCCTGCAAACTTGAGTCACAAGTAAAATATTGTAAAAAAAATTAGTTTTGCGAGACGAGGCATGTAATATTAATCCTTAATAATAATTATTATTATTATTTCTAAAAGTACATGCACAAGGTATACAGGCCTCGCTGATATCAATGATATAATACTCTATAGAAAGCTGCTTGTTATGCAGAGCATTTCAGGCAAGTTAGGTCAGTTATGTCCCGGGATGTGACTCGCACCAGTTGACTAACACACGTACCCATTTTTACTGATGGTTGAACATAGACAACCGGTGTAAGGAAGCACACCAAATGTTTCCACCCTTTCTGGGAATCTAACTTGGACCCTCAGCTTGTTAACCTATTCAGGGTCCAGAGGCCAGATTTCAAAGTATGCACCAGGGTCCAAGAATTTTCAAAAAATAATTGTTATTTTTTGTTGTGAAATGGTAGAGAATCTTTTTCTGAAGGTAATGAAACAAAAAGTACGAAATTTTATGGAAAATTGACAAAATTATGCTCTCGCTAATTTTGATGTCGGTGATGTTTACGCATTGGCGATTTTGCTGGCTTTCTCCCATTTTAGGCCAATTACATTATTTGTCGACCAAATTCTTAGCTATTTCACTAGTATTACTTCTATTCTATTGATTGAGCACAAGAAATCGCCAAGTCAACTGTTTCGACTACAAAATAGTGATTGGAAATTGGATATTTGGCCAATGTAATGCCAAGTTCAAAATATTCCAATTTCAGATTGGGGTCCAGAATGAACAGTGCAGGCATTCCTGGCACTAAACTAACATTTCCTCTGTTCATTAGCTACGTTTTCAGGCTTTACAAATGAATTCCATTCTGATTTTTTATTCACATAATGAATTTTTATTCAAACAAAAAAATAGAAGTTTTACTGTTATGCAATATTGTAATAATTGTATAAATAATATTACCACATTTGTGAACGTATATTAGACCAACCAGCTGGCATGTATTAGACGTGTGAGGTCATTTGTTTACTCTAGAACATCGGCAAAAATTTAACATTTCTGCTACTTTGAGCTCGGTTTAAAGCCATTTCCTGTACTAAAAGCAATTGAAATCATTTCTATTTCTGAATATATCTTCCATTCTATCAAATGAGACCAGGAAATCACAAATACAACTATAAAAAAACCACTGCAAAGTCAGTTTTAATAAAAAATTACGGTCTTTTTTTTTTTTTTTTTTTTTTTTTTTTTTTTTTTTTTTTTTTTTTTTTTTTTTCTCTCTCTCTCTCCTCTCTCTCCTCTCATTATGCACTTTGTGCTGTAGGATTTGCTTTGTGGTGCACACATACCACATCGATGTAGTCTCATATCTAGGCCCAAATTTACCACTCACAGCTTATCAGAGTGAGCTGAGCTCATGGCATACATCTACGGTTTGGACCCTCGACTCAAAGCCGTAGAACTACGGCACGGACCCTGAAAGGGTTAAGCAAGAGCTTTGCCACCGGGCCACAGTCCACTGTGGTTAACCCTGGTTAACCCTTTGTGTCGAGACCCCCACTGTTAAACTTTGTCTCAGGGTCGAAGAATTTAAAAAAAAAAAAGTGAAATGATACTTTCTGAGGGTAATGAAATCAACAGTACAAAATTTGATGGAAAACTTGCAGAATTATGATCTCAGTGGTCCTTGCAATATTTACATATGTGATTTCGTCCGCTTTGTGTTTTTGGCCAATTCCGTTGTTCCAGTCCACCAAACTCGGCTATTTTGATAGCGTTCCGTCTATTCTATTGAGTAAAACTGCTAATTTACCCATTTCAACTATCCAATAGTGATCAGAAATCTGTAATTTGGCCAGTTGCATACAAAATTCAACAATTACCAATTTGGAAATAGGGTCCAGTCTAAACAATGTTGACATTCCTGGCACTAAATAAACATTTCCTCTATAACTTAGTCACGTCTCCAGGTCCCTCTTATATTATGTTTGCCTTCAGTTTTGAATTTTTACTCACAAAAAAAAAAAATAGAAAATTTACTGTTATGCAGACTACTGCATTATTATAATTGTATAAATATCAGTGCCTTTATAAATGTATATATGACTTGCCATTTGGGCGTTTATTGGACAAGTGACGTAATTTGTGTACTTTGGAATATTGGCAACAAATCAAACATTTTCACTGAGCTCAATTTCAAGCTACTTTCATTCCTGAAACTAATCAAAAACCATTTCTATTTCTGTAACATATCTTCCATTCTATCAATACTGCCATAAAAGCCATGTGAAAATACACGGCAGAGATGCCTTTTTTTTTCTCGTGCACTACGTACTGCAGGATTTTCTTTATATGGTGCACACTTACTGCATACACACATTATCAATGTTCAGATTTACAGTTCACAGCTTGTCTGAGTGAGCTAAGTTCATGGTGTAATACTACGTGATCAACACTGGCTTCAAAGCAGATATACAATGGCACCGACACTGAAAGGGTTAATATTGGTATTTGTAAGAATGGCCAGAATAAAGATTTCGGCTGGACAGTCATCAAGTATAATTTGAATAAAGCCTTTTGGCTAAGTTTACACTTCAAAGGATCCTGTAGTAAGCCTGAAAAGAGGGGTACCAAGATAAAAATTTAGTCTAATTCAAATTATTTTCAGGTTGTTCAACAGGAAAATTGATTATCAAAGCTTGCAAATAAGGAAGCTCACAGATATGCAGTGACAGCTATTCTGTTTTTCCTCAGTATTAAAATACTTTGTTGTACTTTTATGGATGCAGGCACTCCTTTTAACTTGGTATGATTATGTATTTTTTTTTTTTCAGCTTGCCTGTGTGGGTGGGTGCACGCGTATGTGTGTGTGTGTGTGTGTGCGCGCGTGCACAGCAGGGTTAGAAGTTTATTCCATTGCATTAGCTGACTTTGGTACCAGCTCTTTATCACATTGTAGTATTATACTCTTTCTTCCTGAATGGAAAGGTTTGTGTGAATGTATTAACAGATGTTTGGGTTGAAGGTGTGTGTGTGTGTGTGTGTGTGTGTGTGTGTGTGTGTGTGTGTGTGTGTGTGTGTGTGTGTGTGTGTGTGTGTGTGTGTGTGATGTGTGATTGTGTGATTGTGTGATTGTGGTTAAATCCATTTTTCAATTTTTATGTTATTCTCCCTTCCCTTTCCTCCTCAGTAGAAATTGTGAATTTGCATTAGCAAGAATTTATAGCTCAAATAAGAGATGTTTCTCAAGTGATGTTCCTAGTTTCCATTGAAAGGAATGTGTAAAGTTGTGTAACCCCCCCCCCCCCCCCATCCTCCTTCCCACTGTTTTTGGTTAAGGAAAAAATAGTCATCTAAATTGAGCATGTGAAGAAAAAAAAATCTATTTCCCTACTCTATAGTCAGAGCTTTCTTGAGTGTAAATGGTTTTACCCATAAATCCTGTACAGTTTTGAATTTCCAAATCTAGCGAGATTAATGTAGCCTTTAATATTAAAAGAACGTGCCATGCAATCTTGTAATCCACCTCGTAAGAGTTTCTGCAATCTTCAGACATCTTTTGATTACTATTGTCATAGAACATTAAAGTAAAATAATGTAATCTACCTATACATAAGTTATTGTAGATGTTAAAAAGCCTTTTAATTGCAAGGTTTTCTTTACCAGTTTATAATAGTGGGACCGGGGCCGACCAAGTTCTGTCGCTGTCTGGCCAATCATATGGTTAGTGCTACCATTATATTTTTGTATTTTTACTCACAGAAATGAGTTCAGTGTTTTATAATTACATTATTTTATAGGCATTAGCCAAAATTCATGTGTATTTTGACAAATTGACAATAATATTTATAGTGCAATACATTTTAAAAGTTTTTTTTAAATACAATACCCTATTCAAAATTGTTACTTGAATATTTCAGAGGAGTATGTCTAATTTAACGCATTTAATTGAATAATGTAGGATGAGTGGGTGAAAGGTATTTGGTACTATACTCATTGTCATTGAAAGAAGAAAAATATTAGTGACATGATTAGGATCTTTTTGAGGGTCAGGATTCCTGGGACTTAATTAACCCTTTGACTGTTGCGGCCATATATATACGTCTTATGGGGTACCGTGTTTGACGTATATATACTCATAAATTCTAGCGGCTTCAAATCAAGCAGGAGAAAGCTGGTAGGCCCACGTGTGAGAGAATGGGTCTGTGTGGTCAGTGTGCACCATATAAAAAAAATCCTGGAGCACGCAGTGCATAATGAGAGAGAAAAAACTCTGACCTGGTTTTTTTTTTTTTTTTTTTAATTAAAATGCCGAATTTGTGGTCTATTTTCGTATAGTATTTATGGTTGTGTTCTCGTTTTCTTGGTCTCATTTGATAGAATGGAAAACATATTATAGAAATAGAGGTGATTTTGATTGATTTTACTATAAAAAGAACCTAGAAATGGAGCTCAAAGTAGGGGAAATGTTTGATTTTTGCCAATGTTCAAAAGTAAACAAATGATGCCATTGTCCAATAAATGTCCAACTAGCCATTCTAATATGCAGTCATGAATGGGTTGATGTTATTTATACAATTATTACAGTATTGCAGTAGTCTGCATAATAGTAAGTCTTCTATTTTTTGTTTGAATAAAAATTCAAAATGAAAGCAAGAGTAATATCAGAGGGGCCTGGAGACATGACTGATGAGCAAAGAAAATGTTATTTTAGAGCCAGGAATGTCTGCATTGTTCATTCTGGACCTTATTTTGAAATTGTCATATTTTTTAGTTTTTGTGAAATTGGCCAAATTGCAAATTTCTGACCACATTATTAGGTAGTTGAAGTCGGTAAATGGGCAGTTTCTTGTACTCAATCGATAGAAAAATTGAGTTCTAAAGAAATAGCTATGAGTTTGGGCGACTGGAACAATGGAATTACCCAAAAATAGGGCTCAAAGTGGGCGAAATTGTCGATTTGTAAACAGCGCCGAGGTCGCTAACTTCGCGAGAGCATAATTCCGTCAGTTTTCCATCAATTTTCGTTTTTTTGGTGTCATTACAATCGGGAAAAGATTCTCTATCATTTCATAAGAAAAATAATTTTTTTTTTTTTAATTTTTGCGACACCAGGAGACGCCTCAGGATTGGGGGTTGCGACAGTCAAAGGGTTAAAACCTAGAATACAGCAATGTAAACTTCAAAAGATTGTGCAGGAACTCTATGGCTTACAGTCTGTGGATTCCAGGATTATGCATTACAGCACCAGTGATGGAAAGAAGCTTAAGCTTTAGGCATTGGTATTTAATGAGATATACCTGAAATATATTAATTAAAAAAATACTTGAAAATGCAGTACTCTTCAGACTGTTATAAGTTTTAAAGTTAGGAAAGTGATTCTTAAGGCTTTTAAATTCTCATCTTTTATGCATACTAGTTTTGTCCCCAGTGTGCTTGTCATATACCTGTACTTTGGTGTGGAATGATAAAGCAGACATATTTAACATTCAGTTACTTTAGTTTTATGAGTGTTTAAACATGCTTGAAAGTTATTTTCTCAAATTTAATTGAATGGGTTCTTGACTGTTAAGTACTGTATTTCTTTGAGGGTGAGTGCTTGAAACATGAAAGTTATGCATGTCTGTATTTTGGTGCTTGTCAGCTTAGGTCAATCACTAATTGTCAGAATAAAAGAATGACAACAGCATGTGAAAGTGGATGAAAGATAACCTAAAAGAAATAAGGGTTAAAAATGAAATGCCTTCTTGTAATTAGTAATCTTGCTTGGTAAGAGCGTAACTATTCAGATAATGCCTTAGTCATGCTACCAGTTTGCTGTAGATAATAGACTGGGTCAGTCTTACATGTGGAAAAGCTTCGGAGCTCTTCCTACTGGCAATTATGGCTGGGTGATTTGGTTGTTAGTTAAAATTACCTAATGTCCTATAAAGGAAAGCTTCATTAAGCCAAAAAAATTACAATGAAGGTGAAATTTTCTTAGCTGAATGGCCAGTGTGAAATAGTTTTCTACACTAAAACAGACATTTTCTAGCATTTAATAACTTGTATTTGGCATTTCAGAGCCTTTTCATTTTTTTTTTCTCAGGAAAGATTGTTGACACGTGTTGATGTGTAGTGTTTAATATAGTGAAACCTTGATTTAAGACTAGTAATGGGGAGGGGAGATGATTTAACTTTACTACAGTCTGGTAAATTTCCTATTTTACCTAGTTTACCCAAATTTAATAAGAACAATCATTGTGAACATTCTTGCTTTTCCACGGTATACATTACTTCTTAATCATTACCTTTGGGGAAGGTATCTTAGCTTTTGCATTAAAATTTTAGATACTGTATTTTAAGCTAGGTGCAGGTTTCTGCTTTTTAAGTAAAGAAGTAGCTTTTATATATGTATAACATTGTGTGACATGGTTTACCAATAAGGTTTTTTTCCTCCATTTGTCAGAAAACAAACGCAAATCTGATGACCATCTGGAGAGTTCCATGTCGAAAACGAAGAGAATGGAAAGCAAACAGCGATGCTCAGATTTGATTGTCTTGGGTCTTCCTTGGAAGACAACTGAAAAGGAACTACGCGAGTACTTTGAGCCATTTGGAGAAGTTCTTATGGCACAGGTGGGTTAATTGATTTGGCTTTATGTAGATCCTTATTTTGCCTTAGTTTAATTTAGTTTATTTTTCTTGTTATTTTTGTGGTAATTGTTTGTGCATTTGCAGGTTAAGAAAGACCCAAAGACCAGTCAAAGCAAAGGATTTGGGTTCATCAGATTTGGTAATTACGAGACGCAAGTAAGAGTTTTGTCACAGCGTCACATGATTGATGGTCGTCTCTGTGATGTCAAGATCCCAAATTCAAAGGTAGTTCTTCGTTAACTTTATTTTTTAATGTCTGTTAAAATAGTACAAATGTCTGTAAATTTCCAGAATATTTTATAATTTATCTGAAAATTACGTAAATTACAATGTAATTCTTAACATGATCTGATCCATATTATTCTTACATATTCCAGCAGGAAGGACAAATTCAGCAGGTGAACAGCAAAGTGTTCATTGGCCGTTGCACTGAAGACATTAGCGCTGATGATCTGCGAGAATACTTCAGCAAGTTTGGTGAGGTCACCGATGTTTTCATTCCTAAGCCATTCAGGGCTTTTGCCTTTGTTACGTTCTTAGATCCTGATGTAGCTCAGTCTCTCTGTGGTGAGGATCATATAGTGAAAGGCACATCTGTTCATGTGTCAAATGCTGCACCCAAGAGTGACCCCAACCGTGGACCTTTTGGGCGTGGTGGACGCATGGGTGATGGGCGAGGGTATGGTCAGGGTGGCTATGGGCAGGGTGGCTATGGACAGGGAATGAATAATGGTGGTAATTGGAATCAAGGTGGGAACAGGGAAATGCCAAACTTGGCAGCCTTGGGTACTTCTTTAGGTCTTGGAGGATCAGGACAGGGAGGGCAAGGTGGGGGACAAAATGTTAACCCACTTAATATGGGGGCACTGACCATGCCCATGCTTGCTGCTCTTAGCCAGGCCAGCTGGGGTCTCCTCGGTAACCTGCAGCAGCAGAACCAAGATGGCTCCCAAGCACCGGGTGGCTACAACCAGGGAGGGCAGGCCAGTCAAGGAGGACCTACTAGCAATCCTCCTCCAGTTAATCAAGGGGGAGGGGGTCATGGCAGTTGGGGAACTGGTAGCTCAGGTGGAGGCTGGGGAGATGGTAGTCAGCAGGGTGGGTCTTGGGGCCCTTCTCAGAGCAGGAAGGAGTACAATAGGTATGATATGTAAGAATGTTGTGGCAGACCTGGGTGGGTGAAGAGTGGATGAGACATCAGGCCATGACGAGTAGAATGATTTGGTAAGACAGTTTACATCAACTGAGTGTCTGCTGTAAAGTAAATTCTTTAATACCTGCCTGCAAAGGCAGAGGGGGTGGCTCAGGGGTGTTAGTGTGTGTGGGTCAAGTCAACACTCCCTCTTCCCTTGTCTGAAGCATGCTCTAGTTTTAGGAAAGTATTCACTTTAATTATAATGAATAATATTCACGCTTAGTGTGTATCGTTTGGTGTGATCACGTATGGGTGGGTGCTGGGGCCCAAGTACTTGGCCCTGAATGTTGTAGCAGTGTTTGATCACATGGTATGATTGTAAGGGCACTCCTCTCTTGCTGCGTGTAGCCTCCCGGGGCATGGGTGGTGGCAACCTTGCCAGAAGGAAAGTGACCAACCGTGTGACAGCTATATTGTACTGAGAGTGGTATGGACGTGTGGATGGCAGAGCTTGCCAATGCCAGGGCCGTGCAAAACAGTCGGTTCAATGGGTGTGTAAGTCTCAGTTGCGCGAGAGAGAGGCCCTCTAGACCTTTCAGAGATGAGTAATGGTATCCAGTAACGTAGGTTCACTGGATTTATTGCACTTCTTTGATGGGTGGAGAGGATCTGAGGCAATCAGTACCATGAGCCTGGCTCCATACCGTTCTCATGAAACGCTGTTATTATATTAATGTTACAGTTGACAATTGATTTCCAACCTGCTTCACAACACCATTGTAATCTAAGGTCACACTTTATTGCTTACCCCATAGCTTAGCTGTTCGCCTTTTGTGAACAGTGTGGAACCAGGAGTCTTGTATATAGTGTGCGTTTGTTTAAAAGATTGAGACTGTTAGCAGTTCCTTTCATCAGAAGTTACTCATGGATCATTTTCCCCACATACATTCAGGGAGAAGTTCTGTGTTTAATGGATAAAAGTTTGGAATTGCTGATAATTTCACAAGTTATCATGTTTCTCACTCTAATCAGACTCAATATTTGCCAGTGTGAGGTGTGACCGAGGAAGCCCTGAGTGTGTAGACTAGGAAGGCCAAGCTATGAGTGTGTGACAATGCAATATATTAATATATTTTGAAAGTCTATATGAGCATTGGCCTCTATTTTAATACTTTGTGTGCATCTCTTTAAAAAGAAAAAGTGCACGAGTCTCATTGGCCTTGTGTAGACTCTGCCCCTTATTCCCTGCTCAACACATCTTGCTTAGCATTCTGTCAATGAGCACTGCCCAAATTTAATATTAGGAGAGTAATCTCATGGCCTAAATTTTTACTGGAATTTTGTGTTGAAAGTTTAATTATGCTGCAGATGTTTTTTGTTTGAAACTGAAATAAGAATTGCAAAAGTTTGTCAGTTTCAAACTGTGAATCTGTTCACGGCAATAAATCTGCTTCACTTAAATAGATTTATATACATATACTGGGAAGGGGCAACTACTACCTTGACCTCACCTGACCCCCCTCTTGGTGTTGCCAAGGTCACTGACCTGGGAATCACAGTACAAAGTCTGTGTGTTGAGCATGGTGGTAAGAAGTGCTGGTCGGTTGGAAGCAGGAAGGCAGTCATCATCATATTAGACTCGAGCATCAAATCTTAATGCTTTGACTGTGGTCATCGTTTAAAGTGGCATTTATTTTAGTTACATAAGATTGTCTGGCAGGTTTGAATCTCGATTCTACAATGTTTGACAGTTTGTTTAAACATCTTTATATTTTCTGCATAGTTCTAGATTATATTGGAATTACATTGATATTCCACATCCTTCCTGCTCTCCTCTGGCACGCTATGAAAGAAGGTATGATAGAGCCACGTACGATTAACAAGCAGGCCTTGTGTTTACCACAGGATCTTTCTCAGTCATAAGTGAAAGAATATTAAGTTTGAGTTTTTTGGCATGAGTGTATTTCAGTACGGTTGATAAAGAGTAGTTTCGCTAACTACAAACATGATAATGTTCTTATTTCTTTTCATTCATTTCACCCAAGATTTTATTCACATTATTCTTAGAATTTTTCACCCATATACGAGGTGTACACGTACTAAATACGGGCTCTTTATGAAAAGTGTGCGCTGTGAGTTTTTAATTTTAAAAATACTTAGGAGGGTACAAAAGTGTATGTCCTGCTGTAAGGTGACTAGAGTTGTGTGAAAAAAAAAAAGCCTTCCTTGAATAGGGCATGGAGCTTTCTTTATAGCTATATTAGTGTGAACGAAATTTGTAGACCTCCATGTTTTTTTTTTTTTTTTTTTTTTTTTTTTCCCAGGAATGGCATACTAGTGTAATTTCATTGAAGTGTCATCATTAACTTGTAACAAAATATTTTGAAGGGGGATGTCACACAGCAGACTAATGGATGGGAAGGACCCAGTAGTTAGTGCTAGGGCCTAGTGAAGATTGAAAGTACAGTATGACTTAACATCTGCATGTATTCATGATGGAATGTTTCCGGTACATGGAATTTTTAAGTGATGAAATTTGGACAAAATGTATGAATTATGAAATCTGGCCAGGAATGGTTTCTGTGAGCCAATGTTGTAAAGTTGTTTTAGTGAATGTTGCAAGACAGGAGTGAGTTGCCATAAATAGGATGGAATGTGAAAAGTCAAAAAGGCCCTGAGGATTGTATCAGGTAGGCCCACTTGAGATTAAAATGGACCCTCTTGAAGCAAGTGCTCTCAGGCTGCTTGAAATGCAAGAACTTTGTGTGCTTTCTACTGTTGTCCTTTCGGGCGTGATTGTGAATGTTTGTATTGCTAGAGTGCTCTGTCTTAATAAACGATTCACAGCCAGATGGCCTTTAGTTTTCTTATACCTTATTTTTGTCCTATTGTGAAAGACTTGGTTTCGGTTAGAAAGTGCCAACAATTGTGTGTTAATGTTGAAACTAGAACCACTCCGTAGTATCATCCAAAATTATAAAGGTTGTGCTGTTTAATTTTTAATTATAGGCTTGTTTGGGTGTCTACTAAAATTTTCATAATTATAAAAATTAGTGCTGTTGTTATAGCAGTCCCATTGAAAAGTGTTAAATCGTATGGAATTTAAAAAGTCCAGCTATCACAAGCAACTGGACTTCATCAGCAGTCGGGCATTTCCAGTAAACTGATGGTTGTGATGAATGGTTTGAAAAACCGACAAGTTGAAGATTGAGACACTTATGCAGCATATGGGAATCTTTATTCAGGAAACGTTTCGCCACACAGTGGCTTCATCAGTCCAATACAAAGAGGAAGGCGTAAGGAGAGGAGGAGAATGAGGTAATCAGTCCCTCAACCTGGAGTCGATGTGTTCAGTCCATCAATCTTGTAGAATGTACATTCTACAAGATTGATGGACTGAACACATCGACTCCAGGTTGAGGGACTGATTACCTCATTCTCCTCCTCTCCTTACGCCTTCCTCTTTGTATTGGACTGATGAAGCCACTGTGTGGCGAAACGTTTCCTGAATAAAGATTCCCATATGCTGCATAAGTGTCTCAATCTTCAAACTGATGGTACTGACCATAAACATGAAACAATTGGGCAGTTAGGTTTTAAAGAACCCTTAATATTTCTTTAATTCCAGGAGTGTGAATTTTAGCATCCATTATAAGCTTCAGCATGAATTTTAAAGCTTTCCCTAGATATCCAGTATAGTAAGTGTAGTTTAAAACTGTTGAATGTTGACACCTGTCCTTCACTTGTACATTTCTTCTAGCTATTCTTTAAGGCTGAGAGTTGAAAGTCCTGTATGTATTTTGAAAGTGATTATAATTTTATCTAACCTTAGCATTATATCACTGTTAATTTATAAGTACATTACATGCTTTAATAGTCAGCAGCAGGCATAAGTTGATGATTGAGCAGTAATGTAACGTAATACATTAAAAGAAGACTGAAGAGGTAATTTTAACTGGATAGCTTGTGTTGTCCTGATGGCTGTGCATGTCTAGTCTAACCACAAAGTTTGGGAAAGGAATCCTTTGTTTTTTTCTTAAAGGAAATAGTGTTTATTCCAGTGTCATAATTGTTGTATAGCTGCACAATTAGCCCTCTGAGGTACTACTGGAGGTGGACTTCGAATTGCGTAAGGCTCCTTACATTTCTCCTGATATGCCCTATACCATTATTAGCTAAGTGTTGATAGCCCCACAGGTGCTCTGAATAAATATTTTACCTAGCCTTGATTGCTGTTGATGTTTCGGGCCCCATAGAGGTAGTGTTCTCCTGGTGTATGAAAACTAGTACTGTATTGTTTTCAGGCAGGCAACACTTGACTGCAGCTGTTCTGAATGCTGTTAACGAAGGATCTTTTAATTTTTTAGCATCACTTTAATAACTTAAGAAATATCTCCCTGACATTGGATCACTGTATTGGGGTTTGCGATGCCTAATTTCCAGACTAAGCTTAGAAACCCATTTTCTGGCCAAGTGTGGGGGTAATCTCATATTTTCTGGAAACTATATCCTATATTAGATAGTATAATATGGTAAGGGAATATGTGTCTAGAGTGAAATTAATAAGTAGGGGAAACACTTGTCTTAATTAGCCATCTCCCGCCAAGGTAGACACACACACACAGACACACACACACAGACACACACACACACACACACACACACCAGACACACCACACACACACACACACACACACACAGACACACACACACACACACACAGACACACACACACACAGACACACACAACACAGACACACACGCACACAGACACACTCACACAACAGACACAACACACACTGACACACACAGACAGACCACACACACACACACACACACACACACACCACACAGACACACACACCACACACACACCCACACACCAGACACACCACACTCACACACACACAGACACACACACCAACACAGGCACACACACACCAGACACACACACACACTCACACACACACACAGACACACACACACACACACAGACACACACACACACACAGACACACAACAAACACCACAGTCAAAGACCAGGTGATCAGATAAGGACAGAAGGTGGAAGAACTCACAAGAAATGATCAGGAGGTATGTGAGGAGCTGAACAGGAGATTTAAGAAGTTTTTACGTAGAGACAGGGAAGGGCTGTGGGAGAAGGACAGCACAGAAAGGGAACATCAAGAGGGGAATTACCATACAAGTGTTGGATGACATACGAAACTGAGGAGGAGGTTGAAGAGAAGCTCTTAAGTGACCTGACACCTCAAAGGCGATTGGGACCCGGACAATCTCCCCATGGGTCCTTAGGAGGAAGGAGCAAGAGATGCTGTGTCGTGCCTCTGACCACAATCTTAACACATCCTTGAAAACCCTGGGCAACTAACTGAGAAATGGAAGACAGTAATTGTAGGTTCCCCATATTTAAAAAAGGAAACAGAAACGAGGAGGCACTAAACATTCAGACCTGAGTCTCTGACATGTATTGTGTGAAAGTCATGGAGAAGATTATCAGGAGGAGACCGTGGTCGAACACCTGGAAGGAACAAGATTATAAATGAAACCAGCATGGGTTATGGAAGGCAAATATTGTATCACAAACCTCCTGGAGTTTTTGACCAAGGAACAGAAGGTATAGACACGAGAGAGAGGGTAGGGTAAGTAGATTGCGTTTTCCTAGACTGCGGAAGGCCTTTTGACACGTTCCCCACAAGAGATTAGTGCAGAAGCTGGAGGATCAGGCACACATTACATAAAAGGAAGGGCACTGCTAATGGATAAGGGAAACTGACAGGGAAGGCTCAGCAACGAGTCATGGTAGTTGAAGAGGTATCACAGTGGGGCCTGTTCGGAGGGGCGGTTCCCACGAGGGTCAGTTCTAGGACCAGTTGCTATTTTTGATATATGTGAACGACATGATGAAGGAATAGACTCTGAAGTGTCCCTGTTCGCTGATGCCGAGCCGTAAGCAGAGAAGAATTAAACGGACGAGGATTGACGGCAGGACTGCAAAGAGACCTGGAGAGGCTGACATGTGGGGTCCAGTAACTGGCTCCTCGATTCATCCAAGCAAATGCAAGTCATGAAGATTGGGGAGGGGCAAAAGAAGACCGCAGACAGAATATAGGCTAGGTGGACAAAGACTACAGACCTACTCGGGAGAAGACCTGGGGTGACCATAACACGAGTACATCACCGGAGGCCACATCAACCAAATAACGCTGCAGCATACGGGCGCTGGCAAACCTGAGAATAAGCGTTCCGATAACCCTCAATAAGGAATCGTTTCAAGACACTGTACATGTGTATGTTAGGCCCATATGGAGTATGCAGCACCAGTCTGGAACCAACACCTGGTCAAGCCACGGTCAAGAAGTTAGAGAAAGTAACAAAAGGTTTGCAACAAGGCTAGTCAGAGCTCAAGGGAAGGGAATGTGTACGAGGAAAAGGTTAAGGTAATCGGGGTACTGACGACACTGGAGGCCAGGAAGGGTCAGGAGGAGACATGAGATAACGACATACAAGATACTGCGGGGAATAGACAGGTGGACCAGAGAAGGATGTCCGAGAGGGGACACAGGGACAAGGGGTCACAAACTGGAAGCTGAAGACTCAGACGAGTCACAGGGACGTTAGGAAGTATTTCTTTTCAGTCATAAGAGTTGTCAGCAAGGGAATAGCTAGCAAGTGAAGTATGTGGTGGCAGGAACATTACATAGTTTTAATAAGAAGAGGTATGACAAAGCTCAGGAAGCAGAAAGAGAGAGGATCCAGTAGGATCAGTGAAGAGGCGGGGCCCCAGAGTGAGTCTCGACCTGCAACCACATTAGGTAGGTACAATTAGGTGGAGTTAAAGACACACACACACACACCACACACAGCACACCACTCACCAACACACGGTACACACACACACACACACACACACACACAGACCAACACGCGACAGTCACACACACACACAGAACACACACACACAGAACACCACAGACACACCCTCAGAGATTGCTCACCCACAGTTACATATCGTCAGACATCACAGCAACACACACACACGACACACACACACAGACACACTCTAAAGACAGACACACACCACAGACACACCCCCTCCCCCCCCACACACAGACCACACACAACAACACACAGACACCACACACACCTGAGATCACACACACACAGACACACAACACGGACCACACACACAGACACACACACAGACACCCCCCCCACCCCCGACCCCCCCCACCCAACTCACAGACACACACACAGACAAACACACCACAGAAACACACACAGAACACACACACAGACACACACACAGACACAGACACACACAGGGACACAGGCCACACACGACACAGACACAGGACACACGCACGAGACACACACACCACAGACACAGACAGACACACACAGGACAGACAACAGACACACAGAACACACACACAACACACACACACACACAGACACACACAACACAGACACTACACACACACAGACAAAACCACACACACACAGACACCACACACACACACCCCCCCCCCACCCCACCCAAGAACATACACAAACCACACACACAGGACACACACACAGACACACAGACACACACACACACAGACAACCACACACACAGACACCACACACAAGACACACACCCACAGACACACAACCACACAGACAGGGACACACACACTCAGACAACACACACAGGACAGACACACACTGGACAGACACCACAAGACAGACACACACACAGACCAACCCACACAGACACACACACAGGACACACAACACACACACACACACACACACAGACACAACACCAGACCACTCACACAGACACA